CAATTATGTAATTTTTAGAAATATGGGACAATCCATTTTGGAGTTGCATCTAAAAGTTTAATGAAGAAATCATTAATTGAACCATTAAAGAAGTTATTGCCATTGAAAACCAATTTTACCTCCTTTTTCGTATACCACAATAGAGATAAATTGTAAAAGCAAAGATTTTCAGCAAAATAAGATCTACAATAAACCAACATGGCAAAATTGTCAATTGAACCCTTATAGGATTAATTGGCTTTGAAATACACTGTATATATATAGCAAAAATGTTTGGCAAAATAAGATCTTCCAGTTAATCGACATGGTTGAAATTATCAATTGACTCCTTAAAGGAGTTATTGCCTTTGAAACATATTTTTTGAACCATGATAGACTGAGAAAAAGTGTAAATCGAAAAAATGGTCAGCAAATTTGGATCTAGAAATAGGTCAACATTGCTGAAATTTAAATTTGACCTCTGTAGGAGTTATTGTCCTTGAAAGATGGTTTTACCCATTTTATGCATTTTCTGTAGAAACCATAATAGATAGAGTGAAATTTTAAATATCGAAAGATGTTCAGCAAATAAGATCTACAAGTTAGTAAGTCAACATGGCTGAAATTTTCAACTGACTCCTTATAGTAGTAATTACCCCTGAATGACCATTTTAACCCCTTTAATTTTAATTTTATATAAACTGAAATAGTTGGAGAGCAAAAATATATAACAAAAATGTTCTTTAAAATAAGATCTACAAATAAGTCAACATGTTTTGGACTTATTGTTCTTTAATGACGATGATTACCAATTTTTAGTGTTTTTGCCTATTATCTTGAAATCATTTTGTCCAAAAACTAAAGAAGATAGAGAGATCCTGTCATCAGCAATACAAGGTCAACAAAAAAGAGATTTTGTCATGACTACTATTCTAGTCCTCAATGAGTGACATGCTCTTTAGAGCCTCTAGTTTCATTTTGGAAAAAGTTAAAACACTATTTTCATATTTGATAACACCTACAGACATGACAAAATTTTAATAATGTTCTGTTATAAAATACCACTCACCATTACTCAACTTGAGAAAAAACTGACTGGAGTTCTACCTTAAATGAAACTTTTCTTGAAAAGCCCTATATTGCTATATATGTATATTAATTGGTGATAGGTTATACCAATTGCATATATTATAAAAAGAAACAAATCAGCTTAATTTGAGAAAACAAATTTACTTAAAGGGGCATTAGCTGTTCACCAATTTGACTCAAGTTCTCATATTTGATTTATAACATACTAAAACATATATCCAACTGTGCTTTGCTTTTTACGCCAATTGGCATTTCATAACCATAATGAAAGCTCTATATACTGATACGTTATTAAAAAGAGACTTTTTATATAAATAATGTTAAAACAAAGCTCTGTTATAAATTAACGTGATCATAAAACCTAAAAGAAAGCACTATACAGTAACACTGGAGTAAGACCAAAAGTTTGTTCTGACACATGAGTTGTAAGCAACATGAAAAATATGGAACAATTCAATTGAGAAAATTAACGGCCTGTTTGTCTCAGAATTAACAATGTCCAACTTGACACCTCAAACATGTGAACACTATATAATTTTAAACCTAAGTGACTCAGTTTTATATTAGAAATGAGTATGAACTCACTTACTTACCCAGGGGGATACTTTGAAAAAAAATCTTATTCATGATATAGCAATGCATATTTTAACTTTTCCGTTATATATATGTTACCTGTAAAATGGCGCAAATGTAGTTTTTATTTTTGGCGCAAATAAAATATAACCTTGTGGCGCAAATGAAAGATTGGATTTCGTAAAAATTGGCGCACATGCAAGGCGCCCATATCCAAGTTACGAAATGTCTTATATAAACAATCAACTATAAATGGACTCAATAATATGTATCAACATTTCGTGTGTATTTTTTTTGTCTAGACACCATCTAATTAACCACCGAGATGACCTCCGAAGACTGCCGATGGTCATATAGCCCCATATAATCAAAGTGCTGGATAGCACCTGTGGAAAGTTTGCAACAGTAGATGTGTATTATTTCAAATAGGTCGTAGATGTGTATTATTTCAAATAGGTTGTAGATGTGTATTACTTCAAATAGGTTGTAGATGTGTATTATTTCAATTAGGTTGTAGATGTGTATTATTTCAAATATGTATTTTATCACAGCTTTGGTGTTTTTCCCTAAACCATTGTCTCATTAGCACTTATCAAAAATCACTTTTTTCATATGTTTGTCATGTAAAATTTTGATAATTTCTGTTGCAACCTTAAACTGTAGATTTAAAAAAAAATAGAAAATACGGATTAATTTCTTTCTGTGCCCATCCCATGTAAAGGGCCTGTGATTAAGTATTTTTTATTGATGAAGGTCCTTCATATTTGTTTGTAGTAAATTGTATTATTACTAATTAAGCAGTTTTCTTGTTTGAATTGTTATATATTGAACAAACTCGGACTACGATTAGTAGATTGTGTGGTTAACGGTTTTTTCCGACTTCTAAAATTTTTTACTTAATACAAGAAATAATTGTAACAGGATGCTGTTACGAAGTCTCCCAAACAAAGCTCCCATAATTAGTCATTCCCATGGTTGCCTGACATTGGGCAAAGTCCTGTACAAATTGGTTTGGTCTAGTAAAGTGATATGCATAAGTGACGCCTAGGGATTAACCCTGTATGTCATTCAAATCTTCTTGAAATCATGAACAGGAATATATATGGTTTAGGGGTGGGGATCTCGACCGTTTCAAACAAGTACAGCTCAAATAGGATGGGTTATGCCACGCTGACTTAGTAGTCATCTTTTATGTTCTGTGCATGAAATATTTGCCACTAGACATTAAGCAACCAACAATCAAATCATCAAATCTTTAATGTTCTGAGGTCATATTATCGTCGATTTTTTTCGTCGTCCCTGGTGTGGACAGTGTATAACTTGCAAATTTTTTTCATTACCCTTCCAAATTCATTTATTTATATTTTATGCATAAAATTGTAAGTATAGGGGGATGAAATTAATTGTAAAAAAAAAGGCATGAGTTTTAAGATAAAGTAGTGACTTGGTCCAGTTTGAAAAGGTTAAAAATTAGTATGTCTAAAGCTGTCAAATTGAATTATAGACCCCTTAACATAAAATTGTCCATATTTTTAGTTAGAGTCTAAAGGCTTTTGTATAATTTTGTTATAATTTGTCCAAAAAGTAGTACACTACACTGTCAAAATCTTTTTTGGATAGAGCAGGTGCAATTTTTTTAATTTGTGTTTTTTTTTTTCCAAAAGGAAATGAACAACGAAATAACTGTGTTCTTGGGCCTTATAGTATTTTTTGTTTTCATGGAGATGAACATCCTGTGGATACAGGTGTGAAGTGGCATTATGATCTTCATTTTCAGTTTCATCAATTCATTTTTTTTTCAGAAACAAGTTATTCATTTTCAAATATGTAGCTATAAATGCATTCAAGTGAAATCAAAGATCATAATTATACCCTCCTCTCCCCCACCCCAAAAAACTCTTTTGTGGTATATAGGAATCATCCTGTCAATGCATGTCCTTTGTAAGAGGAACTCCTCCAAAACTGATGAAACTTTACATATTAATAGAAAACTGCCTGTTGTTGTATATAAAGGAATATAATTCTGTTCCAACATGTAAAAGGGGAGATAATCAAATTACTTACTTCAGTATACAAATATATGATATGCGTCCTTAAATGTGGATTCTTCACATTTCTATTTATTTTTCTTCAATGCCAGAATCAAATAGGATTTCTGAAATCCTCTAAGCTGAAATTGGTGACAAGAAATACTTTATGAAGAAATGGATATGTTGATAGTAAATACAACCACATAAAGAACAAATACAATAGTAATGGAAATCATGGATGATAGGTATATAGGTCGTCATGATTTAGAACTTGACAGCCTTTTCCCTCCAAAATCATACTTTTGTTAATTTTATGTTGGAAAAGGAGGGGGGCACTTCAATCATGTTATCATAGGGGTGAGCAGCTGAGACATCCAGTACCTCATCCTTTTCATATATTTTGAATAGCAAAAATACATACCCTTTTCGTATATTTTTTCACAAAATATATACATATAGCTATCATGATTATGCCATTTCATAGATTTGACAAATATTTGATAAGCTTCATCGAAGTCCTTGAAGACTGGTTTAAATTGGCCTATGTCGAAAAAAATTGACTTTTGAAATAGTTTTGATTATATTCAGATAATTAATATGATTCAATCAGCAACCTTGTCATACATTTAATCTAAATTTCACAACCTTGTAATATAGCATTAAGCTTAAAATAGTGACCTATCACAGCAGCTCATCCCTACCACTCACCACATAATGAGGAATATAATACTGGTTCAACATGTAAAAGGGGAGATAATCAAATTACTAACTTCAGTATATAAATAGAGGTATTCCTTGTTATAACTTCTTGATCACCGTTTATATAATTTCGGTATGCTTCAGTGAATGATTTATATAGTGAATAACATACTTGAAAAACAAATTCTCTGTTCAAATGTATTTGCTTTGAATATGTGTCAATAAACATATTTTACTATAGTTTGATACTATCATCTTTAGTTTTATCTGTTAGTAATGTTCTGACATCATAAAAATTATTTAAATGTTTTGCTATTTGTTATATGGAATGTTTTGAACCAAGTCCTTTGTCAAAGCTTTACATATTGCAAAGAAATTTACCTACTGTTGAAGATAGTATGATGATTGTTGTATATATTCTAGGTATTTTAGTCATTGGGTTGCTGTCTCATTGACCATTTACTCAAATACACAAACAATCAGCTGACCAATAAAATTATAAATTGGATAAGGTACTTTTTTGAGATTTATCCATCCCATTATACATCATTGAATAGGAAATCAAATAACTTAATTTTGAAAATGGGAATTTTCTAAACTAAAAGGAAAATAAGTTTACTCTAAGTTAAGTTCAAGAAATATAATCTATTATCTAGCAGAGACCATTGAATTGACAGCAAAGGCAAGCAATTTCTCACAAAAATGAGGATATAAGAAGCTGATCTATGGCAATATCTTAAAATCATTGATACATGTACATGTACATTGCATATACTAGTATATGGAAAAGTCAACTATGTGATAATGCCATTTCGAAACTGATAAATTTCAGAAAAAGAAAATACAACAGTAAAATCAACACATTCTACACAACAAAATTATGTATTTTTAAATAAAATTGAAAAACTCTGCATTATTATTTTGAATCTTTTGTGGATGTGGTATTCAACACAAATAGTCACTTTTCTTTTAAAATTTCAGCAATGTTTTAAAAGTTCCTCTTCTATATCACAAAATTCATTTATAACTTTATATTCTTATACATTTAACATTATACTGCTATTAAATCTTTTATTTCACTTTCAGGTCTATCCTTTAGTGCAGGTACATGATCAACATTGATGTTATGAAGTTTTAATTTAGTCAGCTTTATTTTATAATTGTCATTAAATCTAGGATCTTTCACCAATCCAAACATTTGATCAAACACACCTAAATGTTGATTTTGTCTATGAATTGTTCCACACACTAATACAACTACCATTCCATGGCGCTCAGACTTAACAAGTAATCCATCACGGCTAATATTTGGATTAAATAACAAAAATTCACTCTTAGTAAATAACAAGAGTCTATCTGAAACAAATTGTGATCCTGAAAGTTCATCTTTTGTGGACTGATCATCTGTCACTATTAATAACATCAATCTAGCTTCATCCCAGAAATGGCACGGCCCAAATTCTTCTACACTCACCCCCATATGTGGGTTTTGACTGTTTAAAACTTTATAAAACCATCGTGCAAAGGTTTCTCCTAAAAGCTGAAGGTCAGTTGCATTTGAACTAGCAGATGCACAAGTGTTGCTATGGTTACTTGACCCTGGTGAAGCAGTTAATTCTGTTTTGTTTGCTTGTGGTATCATAACTTGATTTCTTTGAGGTTCAGAAAAATTCTCAGATGATGAGCTTGATCGCATATCCTCGTCATAATGCTGAAATACAAAATTTTAATGTTTAAAATTGATTCGTGTAGATGTCAAAAGGGTGTTGTAAATATAAATTTAAGACTGAAAATGTTAAACATGAAACATGGATTTTGTTCTTTTAAAATTATTGTACTTTATATATACTTTGTATTGTCATGTGTTTAAGCATTCAAAATTTGGTCCAAGGAGTGCAAAAACCGAATCTTAACATTGAATCAATGCAAATATTACATTTCCACCTTGTCAACGCTGTATACTTCATATTGGCTGTTGAACTCAACTAAAATTAATGACTTTCTAAACAAGAGTTTACACGCTGAAATGTTTCGCCTGCTTTACTTACCATGATTGATATAATGTTGTCAGTCTTAAAAATACAGGTTTTACTACAAGTACCACATAAACTTAACATTATCAAGGATCAATGACAATAAGGTCAAGGTCAGACAATCCCTGGCAGACAGTACACCTTACAATCATTCCATACACCAAATATAGTTAGCCATTTGCTCATGGTATCACAGAAATATACCAAACCATGAAAACTTAACATTGACCAATGAACCATGAAAATAAGGTCAAGGTCAGATGATACATGACACACAGACATGTACACCTTACAATCATTCCTAGCACAAAATATAGTAAACCTATTGCTTAAAGTCTATAAAAAACACTCAACCAGGAAAACTTAAAATTGACCAATGAACCATTAAAATGAGGTCAAGGTCAAATGAAACATTACAGTGCAACAGGTATACCTTACAATCACTCCATGCACCAAATATAGTTGACCTACTACTTATAATATCTCAGAAACAGACATAACCAGAAAAACTAAATATTGACCAATGAACCATAAAAATGAGGTCAATGTCAGATGATCACTGCCAGACTGACATGTTAACCTTATAATCATCCCATACACCATATATATATTCACTATTACTTATAGTATCTGAGAAGAGCACCAAACAATAGAAACTTAACACATTCATGAAATATTTTAAACAAGCTATTTTTTTTCTCTTCAACCGGAGGACGGGTGGATACCCCTGAAACCGGAATTATTGTACTCCCGTCGGGAGGTACACATATATGGATCTCACACATGTATGGGGAATCATTAGTGGCAAGGTTCCGTAGCCTGGCATCCTGACCCAATCTAATACTTCGTCGACTGTCAAGCAGTTGGCCAGGATCCCAGGCTACAAGGTTCTGGTGCAAAAAATAGTTGACATGCATTTTGTAGCCGGACACACGGACACAACGATAAATTATAAATATTGAATATACTAATTCAGTTTAAAGGCTTAATTTAATACAAATGACCGTGTTCTAATGTAAAATGCCACAAATGTAAATTTTAATTAAATACGATTTTCTGGAACACAAATTATACTGTAAATTCGTACTGGCATTGCGTAGGCACCGGACACATCCATCTAGAACACCAATACCAATATTTAATTATCAAATAGTTCCAGTGTAATGCTGTGTGTTATTCAAGAAATAGAGTTAATTAATCGTCTATACAATTTTATACTCTTAATGGACACTTGCTGTGACAAAACTTTTTTTGGTGAAGCCATACATAAGTGTCCATGTATCCCCAGACACAAAATGCATGCTAACTATATTTTGCTCCGAAAATAGGACATATCTAGATTTTATACAATGTAACTAAGCACGATATAAACATTGATAAACAATTTCGATCAAAAGATTTTAAAGTTAATTATTTATTCTTGTATAAGAACTTTTTCTCTGTTTTAGGATTAGGATAGAAAAATGTGTTAAGAAGGTTCCTGATTGGAAGAATAACATACTGAATAGATAGCAGATGTTTATATTCCAGTTGCTAATAAAAATATTCTGGAAGACATGTGATCCAACCACGAGTCTTATATTGAGTCTGTTAGCTTTAAGCCTTCTTTTAAACCAGGACACTTAATACAGAAGCACCAAATTTTTTTTCCTATAGTTTGACCTGACCAGGTAAACTCCTTACTTTTTTTTGTATTTCTGACAAGTTTTATTAAGTTTATACAGCAATTAAAAGTATACCTTTTTCTGGGAATTAAACAAGCTTACTATGCTGATTGTTGAAGGTTGTAGGATGACCTACAGTTGTTCACAAAGCTTTATAACATAACAATTCCAAATGAGGTACAGTTTATTTGTATTATGTTCCCAATTTAACTGATAGTATATAAGAGCAGTTCCATCAAAATATACATGGGACCCAAGGAAGGCAACTTGAATTTGCCACTATGGATGGGTGTAAAATATTATGTTGTACATGATTGAAACATATGCAGGACTTTAAATTACCTTCTAATAAAATGGATGCCTGGCTACTTTATATTCAATGTGCTTTCCCTGAATACAGAGTGCGTTTTAATGAAACAGCTCTTACTAAAATGTGGTGTTTGAGGTAAATATTAATTTTTTTATATAATTTAAATGATTAATAATATATTGCTGTCAGAGGCAGATTTAGAGGGGGGCAGGCCCCCCCCCCCCTTTTTCTGGGAAAAATTTGGTTGATTATATAGAGAATCACTGAAGCATGACCGGAGCAGGCACTTATGAAAATTTCTGGATCCACCACTGGCTGTCTTATTGAAAATTTCCTAACATCACCTTTTATTAATATAATCATTATATATGTATGAAATGATACTCTTAAATTGCTTTTTGGCTTCTTTATAAACTGCTATTCATAGAATTATAAAATTTGGTGGGAAAACTTTTTATTTTTATTTAAATAATCCTAGTATCTGTAAGAAAAATAATTTTATTCAATATTGATCTATGCAATTCTTGAAATTTTTTGCAGGTAGCCATTTGTGTTTAGTTGATACCCACTTTTCTAAATTTTGTCTCTTTAAACAATTTCGTCGGTAGGGGACTAATTAGCTTTGTTTTACTCAGTAATTAATTACTAAATGAAAATGCAAGTAAACATACCATTCTAATTGAAAGTAAACACATGGTCTACAAATGTTCTGTCTATAATTATTTTAAACTCTGTAATATAAGGCCTATTTACTTACATTCATTACGTTTTTCCTAAAAAAAATCTTTCCCACCATATCAAGTCATCTTCTTTAAGGAATCTCTTTCCTTCCATGACGAATTCCTCAACCTTATCTAAATCTGTAAAATTTGGTTTCATATTTTTCATTAGTGTATTGGGCAGTCGTATTAGTGGATATTTATATCTGCCCTTGCATTCTCTCCAAGCCTAGTATTAAACAAAATATATGAAGTGTAATCATCAATTATTTAAGCTAACATATAACATACCAGTGAAAGCCATTTAACACTTTAAAGGAAAAAACTCTTACAAAGCCTACACTAATATCAAAAGAAACATTAAATTCTTGTATGTAATTTTTCTTGCTGGAATGGTACACACCACATCTGAATTCTTCAAGTTTGTTAAGGTTTTTAGCCTTATATTAAAAAAACACATTGTAAATTACACGACCAACTCAAAGTTTCCCACCTAAGAAATTCATCTTGAAAACTAAAGTTTAAATAGATGAAGAATAATTGAGCAAACAGACATCACATGGACATTCACACAATTTCTCAAATATGACTTTCAATCATGCTTGTTATGCGTTTACTTTTCTACATTGGCTAGAGGTATAGGGGGAGGGTTGAGATCTCATAAACATGTTTAACCCCGCCGCATTTTTGCGCCTGTCCCAAGTCAGGAGCCTCTAGCCTTTGTTAGTCTTGTATTATTTTTAATTTTAGTTTCTTGTGTACAATTTGGAGTTTAGTATGGCGTTCATTATCACTGAACTAGTATATATATTTGTTTAGGGGCCAGCTGAAGGACACCTCCGGGTGCGGGAATTTCTCGCTGCATTGAAGACCTGTTGGTGACCTTCTGCTGTTGTCTGTTCTATGGTCGGGTTGTTGCCTCTTTGACACATTCCCCATTTCCATTCTCAATTTTATTAATTGATACAAAAAAAGTCACACAACTTTTGAATGCCTCTGTAACATATTTATCTTCTTAACCATACAAGTGTGGACACAGATCAGTGTGGATAGAATGTTTGGATGTATGCTGTGTTTTCTGACAAAAAGAGTTCTCTGTTTTTTCCCATAGGGTTTTATGTTAAACTGTGTTGCAGTGACAGCCTACCTGTACCAAACACTAATAAAATGCTTCGCTGAGCGCAGCCTGATACGACCGCAGAGGTCGAACCCTGAACAGTTGGTACAAATTTGGACACAAGCTTGATACCATCTGAATTTGGATTGTGATCAAATTTTTTACATAATATAGATTTCTGACACAAAATAAATGTGGTCAAAGATCTTATAAATCTATTGCGCAATACTGTGCAATTGAAAATTTCTTCTTGAAAATTTTCAACAAAAAAAATATGAATCCTCTAAAAAAATTGGGGAAAAAAATCCCCCCCCCCCCCAACTTTTTGAACCACCCCCCCCCCCCCCCCCCCTTGGAGCAATAACCCCAAAACTCGATCCCAGCCTTTCCTTTGTAGTATGGAACCTTGTAGTACAATTTCAGAGAGATCCATACACTTAAACACAAGTTATTGTCTGGAAACTAGAATAAACTTCTTCGCTGAGCGCAGCTGGATACGCCCGTAGAGGTCCAACCCTGAACTGTTGGGGCAAAAATGGACACAATATTCAAGCTTGATACAGGTCTGAATTTGGATTGTAATTAAATATTTGACATATTATAGGTTTCTGAATAAATGTAGTCAAAGAACTTGAAATTGGTTATATGAATTGAATTTATATTCAATTAAAGATTTCTTGCTGTTGTGCAATACACTGCTGTTGCGCAATACTTAGTAAATCTGTTGTCAGACTATAAACAAATAAAGTTCAATTAATTCTCAATGTCATATTAGAAATTTATGAAAATGTAAAGGGAGCTTACATCAATAGATATAAACAATTCACCAAAGTTTCATGAGAATTGCTGACAGCATATTT